AGGAACCTCAAGAGCAAAATGTGACTGAAGGCTAAATGGGCACTTGCATTTTCTTCACCATGTGGTTCCATGCAGACCAAGGGTGCTTTCTGTTCATAAAAGAGAAACTGTTTGCTACACTACATGCATTGGTTATGTTTGATCTTTGCTTCTACTGATGGCTGTAATTTCTTATAATTTTGTAATTTTTAAAACACTTCTGAAAAATGAATAAACGCTAGGATTGATCTTTCTTGATATAAGCTGGCTGGCACTTATATCCGCACAAATAATTCTAAAAAACAAAGACCCAGAGAGAAGCACTTCAAGGCACCATAGCCAGTAAAAATGCCTCTGCTCTGTCAACACTTTCCAAGTGCTTTTCTTCTAATTTTGTAATTTTTAAAACACTTCTGAAAAATGAATAAACGCTGGGATTGATCTTTCTTGATATAAACTGGCTGGCACTTATATCCACACAAATAATTGTAAAAAACAAAAACCCAAAGAGAAGCACTTCAAGGCACCATAACCAGTAAAAATGTCTCTGCTCTGTCAACACTTTCCAAGTGCTAACCTGGCTGGCCTTTTTCTGTACCCCACAGTTGGAGGCACCGACAGCAGAGTCTCCACACTAGGAGTAAGCAGTGACCTTTAATTCACAGGACCTTCCCATACATGAAAAGACATTTAGGGCTCCGTAAAGTGGGAACCGGGGCCCAGGTTTTCATTATCCTTCTCATCATCTTTGCTGTCTCTGAACTTGGCCAGTATAGGAGTGTTGAAAACTGAGCCACTGCTGGATGGGCCAGCGCTTTGGGAAGATGAAGTAGGGCTGTTGATGGGAGTCCTAGAATGAGAAAATATTCCTGGTAAGGCAAGCGCCTCCTATCTACACAACAAGCAGAACAGGTAAATAATAATTCCATCAGCTCAGGGAATTCTGTGACTTGTGATTTTGGAACAGGGACTAACGATCTCAACAGAGAATTACCTGCCCCCTTGCCAAATACAATTGCCAGGTTCTTTTGCGGGAAACGTAGACACTTAATATTACGGCTGAGCCAAACCAGGAAACATAACTTGTTAACCAGTCGTTCTCCAACTTTTGTATCCCACATCCCATACCAACCACTCTGTCAAAGAACCTGTGTCCCACCATGATAGAAACAAAAAGCCCACTTTTTCTGAGAACATTTTTATGTTTACAGCAGGGGTTGTTTCGTAGAAAAAGAGCTAGGGGAACTCATTGGGAGTGTGAGGAAGCCCCGCGAAGGCCCTCCCTGGCCCCAGGCAGGCAGGGGTGGGGAGAGGCAGGGAGGAAGCAACTTACCCTCCCTCTTCTCCTGCCTCCTGGCTGAATGAGGGCCGGAAGCGAGGCAGCCGGAAGCAGGGGGTGGGGCTTCATCATGTGCCCCGCCCCCCGTACCTCACCCGGGGGAACTGCGATCCCCCACGATCCCCCCCGAAATGACCTCTGGTTTACAGGCTTTCTGTTATTAATATGTTCACTCACAGATGGGCATGGGAAATGAGGGAGAGTGAATTCTCAGTAACTGTCGACCCACTGGTGGGACATGTACCATTTGGTTAAGAACTTGGT